AGACCATAGCAAAAATCAACAAAGCTAAAAGCTGGTTTTTTGAAAAAATAAACAAAATTGACAAACCATTAACAATACTCATTAAGAAACAAAGGGAGAAGAACCAAATTAACAAAATTAGAAACGAAAATGGAGAGATCACAACAGACAACACTGAAATACAAAGGATCATAAGAGACTACTACCAGCAGCTCTATGCCAATAAAATGGACAACTTGGAAGAAATGGACAAGTTCTTAGAGAAGTATAACTTTCCAAAACTGAACCAGGAAGAAATAGAAGATCTTAACAAACCCATCACAAGCAAGGAAATCGAAACTGTAATCAGAAATCTTCCAGCAAACAAAAGCCCAGGACCAGATGGCTTCACAGCTGAATTCTACCAAAAATTTAGAGAAGAGCTAACACCTATCTTACTCAAACTCTTCCAGAAAATTGCAGAAGAAGGTAAACTTCCAAACCCATTCTATGAGGCCACCATCACCCTAATTCCAAAACCAGACAAAGATGCCACAAAAAAAGAAAACTACAGGCCAATATCACTGATGAACATAGATGCAAAAATCCGTAACAAAATTCTAGCAAACAGAATCCAACAACATCTTAAAAAAACCATACACCATGACCAAGTGGGCTTTATCCCAGGAATGCAAGGATTCTTTAATATCCACAAATCAATCAATGTAATACACCACATTAACAAATTGAAAGATAAAAACCATATGATTATCTCAATAGATGCAGAAAAAGCCTTTGACAAAATTCAACATCCATTTATGATTAAAACTCTCCAGAAAGCAGGAATAGAAGGAACATACCTCAACATAATAAAAGCTATATATGACAAACCCACAGTAAGCATCACCCTCAATGGTGAAAAATTGAAAGCATTTCCCCTGAAATCAGGAACAAGACAAGGGTGCCCACTCTCATCACTACTATTCAACATAGTTTTGGAAGTGTTGGCCACAGCAATCAGGGCAGAAAAAGAAGTAAAAGGAATCCAGATAGGAAAAGAAGAAGTGAAACTCTGTTTGCAGATGACATGATCCTCTACATAGAAAATCCTAAAGACTCTACCAGAAAATTACTAGAGCTAATCAACGAATACAGTAAAGTTGCAGGATATAAAATTAACACACAGAAATCTCTTGCATTCCTATACACTAACAATGAGAAAACAGAAAGAGAAATTAAGGAAACGATACCATTCACCATTGCAACAAAAAGAATAAAACTTAGGAGTATATCTACCTAAAGAAACAAAAGACCTATACATAGATAACTATAAAACACTGATGAAAGAAATCAAAGAGGACACAAACAGATGGAGAAACATACCGTGTTCATGGATTGGAAGAATCAATATTGTCAAAATGGCTATACTACCCAAAGCAATCTATAGATTCAATGCAATCCCTATCAAGCTACCAACGGTATTCTTCACAGAACTAGAACAAATAATTTCACAATTTGTATGGAAATACAAAAAACCTCGAATAGCCAAAGTAACCTTGAGAAAGAAGAATGGAACTGGAGGAATCAACCTGCCTGACTTCAGACTATACTACAAAGCCACAGTCATCAAGACAGTATGGTACTGGCACAAAGACAGAAATATAGATCAATGGAACAAAATAGAAAGCCCAGAGATAAATCCACGAACCTATGGTCATCTTTTTTTCGACAAAGGAGGCAAGGATATACAATGGAAAAAAGACAACCTCTTTAACAAGTGGTGCTGGGAAAACTGGTCAACCACCTGTAAAAGAATGAAACTAGAACACTTTCTAACACCATACACAAAAATAAACTCAAAATGGATTAAAGATCTCAATGTAAGACCAGAAACTATAAAACTCCTAGAGGAGAACATAGGCAAAACACTCTCCGACATAAATCACAGCAGGATCCTCTATGACCCACATCCCAGAATTTTAGAAACAAAAGCAAAAATTAACAAATGAGACCTAATGAAACTTAAAAGCTTTTGCACAACAAAGGAAACTATAAGCAAGGTGAAAAGACAGCCCTCAGATTGGGAGAAAATAATAGCAAATGAAGCAACAGACAAAGGATTAATCTCAAAAATATACAAGCAACTCCTCCAGCTCAACTCCAGAAAAATAAATGACCCAATCAAAAAATGGGCCAAAGAACTAAACAGACATTTCTCCAAGGAAGACATACAGATGACTAAAAAACACATGAAAGGATGCTCAACATCACTCATTATCAGAGAAATGCAAATCAAAACCACAATGAGGTACCATTACACACCAGTCAGGATGGCTGCTATCCAAAAGTCTACAAGCAATAAATGCTGGAGAGGGTGTGGAGAAAAGGGAACCCTCTTACACTGTTGGTGGGAATGCAAATTAGTACAGCCGCTATGGAAAACTGTGGAGATTTCTTAAAAAGCTGGAAATAGAACTGCCATATGACCCAGCAATCACACTTCTGGGCATACACACCGAGGAAACCAGATCTGAAAGAGACACGTGCACCCCAATGTTCATCGCAGCACTGTTTATAATAGCCAGGACATGGAAGCAACCTAGATGCCCATCAGCAGATGAATGGATGAGGAAGCTGTGGTACATATACACCATGGAATATTACTCAGCCATTAAAAAGAATTCATTTGAATCAGTTCTAATGAGATGGATGAAACTGGAGCCCATTATACAGAGCGAAGTAAGCCAGAAAGATAAAGACCATTACAGTATACTAACACATATATATGGAATTTAGAAAGATGGTAACGACAACCCTATAAGCAAAACAGAAAAAGAGACTCCGATGTATAGAACAGACTTGTGGACTCTGTGGGAGAAGGCGAGGGTGGGATGTTTCAAGAGAACAGCATCGAACATGTATATTATCTAGGGTGAAACAGATCACCAGCCCAGGTTGGATGCATGAGACAAGTGCTCCGGCCTGGTGCACTGGGAAGACCCAGAGGGATCGGGTGGAGAGGGAGGTGGGAGGGGGGACTGGGATGGGGAATACATGTAAATCCATGGCTAATTCATTTCAATGTATGACAAAAACCACTGCAATGTTGTAAAGTAATTAGGCTCCAACTAATAAAAATAAATGGAAAAAAAAAATAAATAAAGAGCCTCTTGATGAAAGTGAAAGAGGAGAGTGAAAAAGTTGGCTTAAAGCTCAACATTCAGAAAACTAAGATCATGGCATCTTGTCCCATCACTTCACGGAAAATAGATGGGGAAACTGGCTGACTTTATTTTTCTGGGCTCCAAAATCACTGCAGATGGTGATTGCAGCCATGAAATTAAAAGATGCTTACTCCTTGGAAGGAGAGTTATGACCAATCTAGACAGCATATTAAAAAGCAGAGACGTTACTTTGCAACAAAGGTCCGTCTAGTCAAAGCTATGGTTTTTCCAGTAGTCATATATGTATGTGAGAGTTGGACTATAAAGAAAGCTCAGTGCCGAAGAACTGATGCTTTTGAACTGTGGTGTTGGAAAAGACTCTTGAGAGCCCCTTGGACTGCAAAGAGATCCAACCAGTCCATCCTAAAGGAGATCAGTCCTGAGTGTTCATTGGAAGGACTGATGTTGAAACTGAAACTCCAATACTTTGGCCACCTGATGCGAAGAGCTGACTCATTTGAAAAGACCCTGATGATGGGAAAGATTGAGGGCAGGAGGAGAAGGGGACGACAGAGGATGAGATGATTTGATGGCATCACTGATTCAACGGACATGGGTTTGGGTAGACTCCGGGAGTTGGTGATGGACAGGGAGGTCTGGCGTGCTGCAGTTCATGGGGTTGCAAAGAGTCAGACACGACTGAGCGACTGAACTGAACTGAATATGAAGAAGGAAACTATACACTTATCACAAAGTTTTATGGTAAAAGATTTCTGTTTCTAGGTTTTATAAAAGGTAGGGGAAAGACTAGTGCTCTTGCAATAACAATTAGGAAAAAACAGATTTCAAATACCATATATTTTTTTTAAAAGGCATAAGAGGAAATTCCCTGGTGATCCAGTGGTTAGGATTCTGTACTCTCATTGCTGAGGAACTGGGTTCTGTCTCTGGTCAAGGAACTAAAATCCCATAGGCCATGTGGTGTGGCCAGAAAAGAAAGAAAGAAAAAAGGCATAAGAGAATTGTGAGCACAGAGAGTTGTTCTAAAGGGTTTAAATCTCAGAAAGAGTAGAGCCTTTCCTTTCCTTTCCCAGGTAAGTGGATACCAGTGGCCATTTTTATTCCTAGGGGCACCTGCCAAGTGTGGGAATGGGCCCAGGACTGAGCTTGCCAGAGACGAAGGTACTCTGCTTGAGGAAAGAGAAAGCAGAAGAGCTTTTCATGGCCCAATAAGACTGATTTGGAGGAGCCTGAAAGTATATCTGGTTTTCCTCTGTGGGACTTTTGCTGGGTTCCAGTGTAGTGCAGAAGGCCAGGCTGGAAAGACATATGAAATCACCCATAGGCATGGCCCTATGGAAGAATGTCTCATTAAAGCAGGGAGCCTGTGGTTCTTTCCATCAACAAATTTGAAACCCAAGATGAGCTAATAAGTCTATCTAAAGCTGCAATCCTGCCCAACCTAGCTCAGGTACTGACTGAACTGAAGTGATAATCCAACAGCATAAGAGAAAAGAGCATGCTTCCTCTGCAGGGGAGGTCACAAGTGAGCTGTGAAGATCATCTATCTTTTAAGTAAGAGGTGGCCTAAAAATACTGCACCCCATTACTTTTACTGTTGTGATTAAAAACTGGACTCTCGAGTCCAACAACCTGGGTTTACATCACAGCTTCACTGTTCCCAAGTTAACTATTCTGAGCCTCAGTTTCCTCTTATATCATTCAGTATAATAACATCTATTTAAAGGGTTAGTAACATTAAAGGAGATAATATATGTAAAGAATTATTGCAGTTCCTGACATATTGTAAAATTCACACTCATATCTCAGCACCTGGATTTTGAGGAATTTCTAGTAACAACAACAAAAATAGCCCACCTTCTACATCATTCTCTGAACTTGTTTCACTGAAACTTTTCCACCGTTCCTTTGCTCTTGAGAGGAAGATTTCATAAAGTTCTGGGGAAAGAAAAGAATAAAAATTCATAAATAATAAGAGAGATTTATCCACATATTTCTATTTTAACTCTTAAAGATAAAAATCTTACTATATTGTCAGATTTCTCTTATGTGGCAGGTATCAAAAACATGGTAAACGGAAGTACTTGATTCTACCAAAACTATTCAATACACAACCAGAAAGACAAAATACTGCAGAAAGGTCATCCAAATAGCTACAATAAAGAAAGAATGTTAAGAGGCTGGAAAAGATGCTTCTGCTAAAGGAGTATCACTGTGGAATAGCAGAAACATGATTTTCTTAGAGTCAGACCTAGATTCAAATTCCAGTTCTGCCACTTACAACCTGTGAGACTTCAAGAAAGGTACTTGATCACTCTGGAACTAGGCTGTCTTCGTCGGTAAACTGGAGAAAAGTAACACCCACTCATGGGGTTGTGTATGTGTGCTCCAATGCTTCAGTTGTGTCTGACTCTGCGACCCCATGGACCACAGCCAATCAGGCTCCTCTGTCCATGGGATTTTCCTGGCAAGAATACTACAGTGGGTTGCCATGCTCTCCTCCAGGGATCTTCCCCACTCAGGGATCAAATCCAAGTCTCCTGAGTCTCCTGCCTTGCAGGTGGGTTCTTCACCTGCTAAGCCATCCAGAAAGCCCATGATTAAGTAAGGTAACTTACATTAAACTCCTGACACCATATAGATCCTTAATAAATAGCAAGAATCCTGGTTCTTGCTTTCCTTCTCTTAAAATTGTTTTCTCTATTATGATATTGCTATGATATGATATCTCTATTATGACATTATGATAAGGCTAACCAAACTATTCAAAGCTACCAAACTTCACAGATTTTGCCAGAAGGCCTACATACAAAAATCTCAACCCCCGTGTTTTTACTTCAATTGCCCAATCACTTTTTGAGACTATTACTCTGTGCTTTCATATACAGGATTCTCATTAAAATTTCAAGAACAAAAGAAATTGAAAATTTTTCTCAATTCTCAAATTTTAATTGTTTCTACTTTCTAACCACTACAAATATTTTAAAATTTACATAAAAATAGTAAATTTCAATGACAAAACAGCAGAAAGTATTTCATGCCCAAATATCAAAATTTATATAATACTGCCCAATATACCAAGAACATATTTTGCTTCAATTAATATTTTTTTAATGTACTTACTACTCATAGTTTGGAAAGAAGAAATTTTAAAAGAAGGAAAAACTTAAAATTTCTATTATTTGTGCCACACTCCATCAGTGGGCACAAGTCTTCATATAAGATGTAGATATAACCTTAAAATTTAGACATAATTTTTTTGCAGTTATCAAACTAACTTGCACTTTTCTCATTTCAAACTAATTCCAAGCTAAGTCCGAAAGTTTCACTATTCTTCTCAAATGTCAAAACTGTCCTGGAAGAAGAGAGGCTTGCCCAAATAACTACATCACCTTTGGAAGTCACAAAATTAACCCAATAATAAAAATGTAGCACTGCATTTCCAAACATCAAAGGATATCTCTCCCAGGAAGAGTTATAGTGCTTATCTATAATAAGATGACTTGCATCTCAGTTCGATTCCATGCTTGACTGCACATGTCACACATTTTATTCTGTATCTACAAGTGTAGAGCTTGAAGCAGACTTAAAGAGGTATCTTGGACTTGAACAGAGAATACTTTGAAATCAGTGTACGTTTCACTTTCTGATTTTCTGACAATAATGATACCGTATACACTCTCAGTAAATTTTATTTTCACTATAATTTTATATTTATCATCACAAATAACTGTTAGAACACTCCTTTGAGATAGCTAGTTATCTCGTCCCCACTTAAAGAAAACTAAGACCTCTAGATGTTAAGTAATTTGCCCAAGGTCACAAACCTAATATATAGTGGAACTAAGATTTGAACTACATGTGACCGACTTTAGAACCTCTATTCAGAGTTACTATTCTCTAATGGTTATAGATTTCATGATTAAAACAAATACAACAGGAAAAAAAGTCAAACTATTAGAGCCCCGAAAACTAAACAAAGTTATCAAAAGTAAATTTACTTCCATTGAAATTTAGCTTTCTTACCACCACTAACAAAAAAAAGGAGAAGGAGTACCTCCAAAATCACTGCAGATGGTGACTGCAGCCATGAAATTAAAAAACACTTATTCCTTGGAAGAAAAGCTATGACCAACCTAGACAGCATATTAAAAAGCAGAGACATTACTTTACCAACAAAGGTCCATCTAGTCAAAGCTATGGTTTTCCCAGTAGTCCTGTATGGATGTGAGAGTTGGGACTATAAGGAAAGCTGAGTGCCGAAGAATTGATGCTTTTGAACTGTGGTGTTGGAGAAGACTCTTGAGAGTCCCTTGGACTGCAAGGAGATCCACCCAGTCCATCCTAAAGGAAATAAGCCCTGAATATTCATTGGAAGGACTGATGCTGAAGTTGAAACTCCAATACTTTGGCCACCTGATGGGAAGAAATGACTCATCTGAAAAGACCCTGATACTGGGAAAGATTGAAGGTGGGAGGAGAAGGGGACAGTAGAGGATGAGATGGTTGGACGGCATCACCGACTCAATGGACATGAGTTTGAGTAAGTTCCAGGAGGGGAAGCCTCCTGGACAGGGAAGCCTGATGTGCTGCAGTCCATGGGGTCGCAAAGAGTCGGATATGACTGATCAACTGAACTGAATCTCATTCACTCCTGAATACATAACTGTTTAATAGAAAGAAGCTAAAATTACTTTGAAAATGAATGACCCAGTTACTTTATAAGCCTTATAAATTTTGAGCTTAAAAAAAAAACTTTTTGATTAGAGTAGTGCAAAAGATTAACACCAACTTAATCAATATTTTAATGTCTAAGTTATATATACCTAATACTGTAAAGCTAAAGTTCTCAACAAAACTGCAAATAAAACATAGCCACCAATACCTCATCATCTTACCTGTATGCAAACTGATTCTTAAAACTTTAAACCAATACAATACTTTGCTAAGCTTAATTTAATTCTCAATACTTCCCTTAAATTCTATTTTTAATTGAAAAAAGTCATTAAAATGATGTTTATTATAGGATAACTGTGAAAATCAATTTTATAAACCATATATGATCATGTTACTCAAAGTTGGCATCACTTTTTTTTTGCTATGTTTTCTTAGCCAGATTTATTTTAACACAATGGGCTATACTTCTACAGTTAAGATTCACTACTTGTCATATTTTAAGAAATCAAATAAACACAATTCAATTAGGTATGGGTTTTTCAATACTTCCCTAAAGGCAGAAGGGAGAAGCATATAAATTAATTCATTAAAGACAGTCTTTGAAAAGCATATTTTACAATACATTATCTCATGAATTGATCAATTTCTCACCACGAGAAATTATGAAAAGCCTGATTAATTCCAGAGTTTGCATATTTTCACAACTAATCACAGTGCTTTTATTGTACAAAATATGTGTATTTTTTTGTAATCCTATTTACCAATCTAGGCTGTTACAGAAGGATCTTATCCCATGCTATCATAAAGATGTTCTTCAGAGTTTTTGATTAAAAAAAAAAATTTTTTTTGGCATCACTTTTAAGACTGAAGACAGACATTTAGGTCTTTGTTATAAATTCTGCAAAACTCCTGGAGAAGACTCTTGAAGGTCCCTTGGACTGCAAGGAGATCAAAGCAATCAATCCTACAGAAAATTGACCCTAAATATTCATTGCAAGGACTGATGCTGAAGTTGAATCTCCAATACTTTGGCCACCTGATGCAAAGAGCCAACTCATTGGAAAAGACCCTGATGCTGTGAAAGACTGAAGACAAAAGGAGAAGGGTGGCAGAGGATGAGATGGTTGGATAGTACACTGACTCAATGGACATGAATTTGAGCAAACTCCAGGATAGTGGAGGACTGAGTAGACTGGTGTGCTATAGTTGATGAAGTCGCAAAGAATCGAACATGACTTCACGACTAAACAACAACTATATATAATGCTGACTGCTGTAATGAATATCCTTGTAGAAAAGCTTTTGTAATTCTGTTTATTTACTTAAAGTGTTAGAACTAGAATAAATGGGTTAGAGGTTACATTTTTTGAAGCTTTTGTAAATATTTCTAAATTATTTTCCTCTATGTGGGTAATATTCATTCATTTTACTCACTTTTGAGGAGTAAAAAAACAGCACCTTGATATTGTTTTGACACAAATGTCTCTGATTTAGCAATCACTAGGAAAATAGTTAAATAAATTATAGTACAGCCAAACCATGAAATACATTGCAGCTATAGTAAGTATAAATACACCTGTTTGTGCTGACATGGAGGGATGTTCAGATGGTTTTTGGAAAAAAAATAAAGAAAATGAGAAGGCTTAAAAAGTATCATAAGTAGATGTACCCTTTTTTATGTGCATAGAAAAAAGATCTGAAAGAACATATACCAAATTGTTAACTAATACATAGTAGGATTAAGAGAAGATGTTTGGGTGAAAGAGGGGGACAGACATGCAGTTTGTACTTTACTATTGAATTTTTTTCAATAATATGTAAATAAAAATTTTAAGTAACAATATATTATTTATATTATTATACTAGAATCCTTAAAAGTCTTTTTGTAGTGCCTCTGTCTGGCATTATCATCATCATTCAGACCATTTTTAATATTATTAATTATTTTACTCTATGTGATACTATCTTTATTTTATCTAATTTTTTTAGTTCATCAAAACTACACTACATTTTATTCCTATCTACATTTTACTCCTATGCTTCAAGGTTTTAAGAAACTTAAAAAAATAAAAGCAATGAGAATCTTACTTCTGTTTTTTTCAAGTTTTTAAATAAAAACATTCAAAATGACTGGTTTGTGTACAGACAGGAAAAGAAATTTCTATCCTTCCCATAATATATTTTTTTTAATAAAGAGGAAACTTGTCCACAACTAGACTATTTTATTTTTCCTTATATATCTTTATTCATCTACTGCTACGTACACCCAGAAGTTCTTGAAGTTATTATCCACAGTTTAATTTGGATGTCAAGATTATTATTGATGGTTGTAAACTAAAGGAAAACACAAATTTTATATACATAATATGAAATACAGTAACTTATTAAATTGTATCAGGTTTTAGATGGCATGGGGAATGAAGTATGCTCTTAAAATGATATATATGGTACTGCCTTTTTAAATAACCAATCTATTAATCTGTTTTGTATCTCTGAAGATGGCTATTAACATGTGTGGGAGTAACTGAATATAGAATACAAACCAGGAGTGATATTTAGTTCATTTCCTACAGCTAGACTCCAAACTTTCCCACGAACACTAGGGGGCAATCCCTGCCACCACAATTCTCGAACTCTTCTCGTACTATGCCTAGAATTGAAGGGGGAGAAAAAAGGAGAAAGTTACTTTTTATACCAAAAATACTAGTTCCATGATGGTTTACCTAGTCTACGGCCAAATGACTGAATGATTTTTTAGAACATGGAGACTTAAGTATGTGATGCATTCTTTCCTTGGGTTCATGCATGTAGGTAAAAAATGCCTAAAAAATATACAGCAATTTAAAGGGAATTGTCTTCCATAACTGCCACTTACACTAAGAGTACAATGAGAGAATAAGAAATATAGGAAAATTATGAAAAATCATCATAAAAAGAATATAAAAATGCATTGTCAATACAGTACCAAAAACAAAATCACGAAGTATTTGCCACGGGTAAAGCTTTAGTCATTGGGAGGCAGCACAGTCTACTGAAAGAAGTGTGGGCTTTAAAATCAGATAGACTTGAGTTCAAATCTAGTTAACCATTCATTAATTGTACAACCTTGGGCAAATCACTTAACCTCTCTGACTTTGAGAATCCCTATAAGATAAAAGGGAATAAAGGTTGTGAGAATCAAATGTGATTACTTGTGTAAAGAGCCTAATATAATATCTATCACATTATGCCAATATTCAATACATTCCCAAAGCACATCCTATACTTGGCATTGCAGAAGTCATCTCCCACCAGTCCAGAGGAAAAATAATGCATGTATAAAAATATTATCAAAAAATAAAAGGCAAAGTAATGCAAGAAGTGTATTAGTCTCAAAGTATAATGGGACATTACAGAAGGGAAAGATCATATATAACATATTATCTTGATTATGAGAAGCATATTAAAATCACTTTAATATTTACCATTTAATAAATGCATATTACAATGAATGTATGTTTAATATTTTCTTTGCCAAAAATCCTATTACATCAACAGTACATGTAGCAATATAGACAGTACATTATAATTAAGAAAATAAGGTAACAGGAAATTAGAAATTTCATGGATCAACAAGTATTCAGATACGATTCAAATGATAGATAAAATTCTGATATGCATAGGGGGTGGTCAGTAAGGGAAGCAGGCATTAGAGATTGAGGGATTTACAAAAGCAAAGAGCAGATATAAGCATGAAAATTTTCAAACTCTGGTTAACAGTATAATTTGGCCAAAACATATAATACATGCTAGAAGTCATCAAAATATAAAATTGGAAACATGAGATCTTTGGAGACAGACTGAAATTCAGGAAAAGTCTGCTTACTTACATTACTTCCCAATTGGGTAGTATTTCATTGATCCAAATTACCATTGCACTTGCAATACTTTCTTCCTGTTTAAACCTTTCTTTCATTATTTTTTTCCTTTTATGTGCTTCTTTAATTTCTGTTTTAAACAAGTAAAAATTATTTCAACATAAAACAGCCAAATCAAAATGCCCTTCTCTTTCTACCGAAGTCTACAAAAGAGACCTTCACATAAAGAATATTCTGGTAAAAGGAAGGAAGAATGGAAATGAAGAAGGGAAGAAAGGGAAGAAAGGAAAAAGGAGAAAGAGGAAAGGAGGGAAAGAGGGAAAAAGAGAAAAACATGAACTTGATTAACATAAGTTAAAAATAGCTTCTTCTACAAAAATGGATGGAACAAAGCTCAAAAAAAATAATTTAAATAGATTACTATATCACATAGTCTACTTATACTTAATCAATGAAGTAAAATTTCTCATGAATTAACTATGTAAAAATAAACAACTGTGAGCAACTAACCAATACCATTTTTTCATACAACAGGTTTATGAATTTCTTCACATAAAACTACATGACAGCGACTTCCCTGTTGATTCAGTGGTTGAGACTCTGAGCTTCCAATGCACAAGGTGTGGGTTTGATCCCCAGTCAGGGAACTGAGATCTCACTTGCCATGTGGCACAGAAAATAAAAATAAAAACCCACATGACATTGAAAAATGATACTGCCATGGCACTATTACAGTGACCCTTTCTTTTACTATGATGTTTCAGTTTACTAATTACATGGAAGTTTTAAAATCCTCCTAACACACACACATACACCTAATACCACTCTGAAGATCCAGAGTCACAATTTTGGAATAAGAGATGCCCCCCAAATAGAGAAGTACATACACAGAGAATGAATGAAGTTTAGAACCAGTAGGACTTCAGAGGTTAGCTGGCTAAACTGTTTTCTAATTGTGTTTCACACATGACTCACAAACCATCTTAAGGGGGCAAGTAAATAGCTCCACATTTTTTTATTTATGTATTCAGATTCTAAGTGTTGACTGAAGGGCATGAAAAACCCAGATGTAGTCAACTGCCCCCTCCTCCACCCTTCTTCCCCAACACACACAAACATTTCACAGATGAGGAAAATTAAGATTTATTTAGAGTCTCACATCCAGGAAGCATAAAACAAGATTAAAGCTTTGACCTTTTGACTTCCCAATTCAATGTTACTTCTATCATATCATATGGCTGGTGCTAAGACACTTCAGTCGTGTCCGACTCTGTGTGACCCCACAGACGGAAGCCCACCAGGCTCCCCCATCCCTGGGATTCTCCAGGCAAGAATACTGGAGTGGGGTGCCATTGCCTTCTCCGATCATATTGTTAAGTTCATCTAATTTATCAATAATCATCTTAAACATTAATCAAATAGTAATGTCAATGTTAAGAGTCGATTAAAATTTGTTGGGTATACTAGAAGTATTTTAAATTGTATAGTAAAATAAACGTAACCAATGTTTACATAGTTATGCCTTCTAAAAAGATTGTGCCACAAAGCAGAAGTGTATATTATTATAATATTTGATTCACTTAAGTCAAAGGAAAAAATATCAGTTGTTAATAAAGCTTATGCCAAAAAATATAGCCAACTGTGTAATATTTTCTAAAAATGTACCCTGAACTAACAATACTTAGGTAAGTAAGTATTGCTAAATCATCCTTATGTTTTATTTTTGGTTGGAAGAGAAAATGAATAAATATGTGAATTTATACACATAAGAATATACACTTCTGTGCCTGTCAAAATGACATAACTGGGACTTGAGAGAAACTTCATAAGTCATGAAACTTCATAAGTCACTTCTTACTTCCAAATCATATACCCATAACCTATAGAAAGTTACTGCAAAATGTCAAAATCCTTAAATTATAAAATATCAAAAGCCTAGTGAAAAAACAAATAAATTTCATGAATGGATTCATGAATAAATATATAAATATATATAAAATATATATATATAATAAATATATAAACCTTCATTTATAAATTAAAGTACTAGTAGTCCCAGGTTTATGATGCAATTATGTCTCTCATAGATAGATAGTCTGCAGCCTTTCTCCTCATACTAGTTTTGTAAAAGTATTTAAAAAACTATGATTCTTGTATGACATTTTATTTCTCTTTAAACAAATTTAGTCAGCATCATCTTAAAGACAGACTTGGTCAATTTCACCATTTCCCATCCTGTTGAAATGAATTTAGTAGGAAATGAATTTCGTACTAACATCAATAAATAAAATATATCACCTGGAGTTAAATTTTATACCTCGTTTTTTAGCCTCAGCCACCATCTCATCATATTCTTGTCGGTGACGTAAAGCCTCTTCCACAGATTTGGCAGGAAGATTTCTGAAGAAAAACAAAATTTAAGTTAATTTTTTAAAGACTAACTTAAGTTTACTGATCTACTTTCTTTATATAGCCAGATACAAAAGAATTTCTAACTTAATTTTCACATTCCATACAATAAGAAAGTATAAGGTCAGAACTCTGCATTTTAGAAAAGAATCAGAATCCAGGTTGCTAATATTTGTTATATATATCAAATATCATATATATTTGTTTATATGTCATTTAAACATGTTTGATTTTAGCCAATAACTCTAGCTTATTTGTTAAACTCACTATAGTTTATTTTTTAGTCAACTTTTTTGAGGTATAATTTCACCCAACAAAATGGACATACATATTCTAAGACTACTGTTTGATGAGTTTTGACAAATGTATATATCTGTGCAAAAAATGCATCAATCAAGATATAGAATGTTCCCATAAATCCACAGTTAGTTTTTGACCCCTTTACACTTAATACTTACCAAACTCCTACCTTAAGCAATCACATATCTGATTCTATCACTATAGATTAATTAGTCTCTAATAAAGAATTTCATATAGATTCTTTTGTGCCTGGCTTCTTTTGCTCAGTGTATTTTTGATATTCATCCACTTTGTCCTGTGTATTAGTAATGATTTCTTTTAATTGGTGAGTACTGTTCCATTTACCCATGTGGATGGACGTTTAGACTGTTTCCAGTTAGGGGCTACTATGAATAAAAGCTACTATAAATATTCAAGTGTGGCTATCTGCATTCATTTCTCTTGGCAAATAAGTAGGAGTATTTATATGCTTTCCACTTTATTAGAGATTTAACATAACATTCTAAATAAAATTTTGATAATCCATTACTCACTTGCATATATCATATTTTGGTTTATAAAATCAATGGCTTCACAGAGGCATGATTTAGATATATGACTATACAAAATGAAATATATTTGAATATTACCACATATCCAAATATGTCATAATAATGTCCAGTTTTTAGAACCAGTTTTTTAAGTGATTTTCAACAGGCTAGGTGGGGAAAGGTATGTGACAAACTTTCAAATTATATATTCTACTTCTTGCCATCTCAGGTTAAGATTCCTTAGATATGTTGTAGCTGCTGCTGCTGCTAAGTCACTTCAGTCGTGTCTGACTCTGTGCGACCCCACAGACGGCAGCCTACCAGGCTCCTCCATCCATTGGATTTTCCAGGCAAGAGTACTGGAGTGGGTTGCCATTGCCTTCTCCTCTGTTGTAGCAAGAAGGAATAAAAGTTAAGATTTCTGCTTCAGACCATAATGGAATAAGAGAGATCAGGTTTATCTTCTTGCCTTAATTAATTAGAAAAACAAATAAAATACATTAAACTACAGTTTAAGATGCTGGACCATAGGCAGCACAAGACCATACTCCTTATGAAAAAGGAAACAAGGTAACCCTGCAGATGCCTGACCTTGCTCCCTGGAGTTTCCAGGTCTCAGTGCTGGGAGGAAGTGCCAAAACAGGGCCCACCAGTCTTGCTGAGTGAGAAAACTTAGAGTTTCAGACAGAATTTGAGTAACTGTGTACCAGAGAGAAGGCAGCTGCGGAGGCTTTGGCTGAACACTGAACTATGTATGTGTGTGATTAAACTATAGTGGCCAGAGAAAGAAACACCAGAAAGAAATAGGTTGAACATTTTCAAAATCACACTGGACTGGGCCATCAAAGTAGAGAGATCTCCTAATAGGGTATTCAATAGAATCCTTAGGGCACTGCTTCAGTAGTAAGGATAAATTATAAATCAGCCTTACACTAATGGCTGTTCTGGAAGCACTCTAACAATGATTAGATCAAAAGGATCAAAGCAATTCCATACCACACTAAAACATATTTATTTAAAGGAATACAAACAAGTCCAATACCCAACCATGTAAAAACACAATATCTTGTATCCAATAAAAATTATCAGGGATATAAAGAATCAGGAAAATAAAAGCCATAATAAGAAGAAAAATCAATCAGCTGAAATAGGGCAAAAATGTCAGATGACAAGATTAGAACTCAAGGATGATAAACCTGTTATAAACATACTCAAGAAGAAGAAGAAGAAAGTAACATGATAAGAGAAATCAGATCCAAATCCAATGTCTACAGATGAAAATTTCTAGAATGATAAATTCAAAAGATAGGACTAACAGAAAATTATATACTACAGAAGAAAAAGTAAGTGAACTTTAAGATGTAGCAATATAAAACTGTACAGAGAAAGAAGAAACCCCACCCCCTCAAAAAAACCCAAACATAAATGAGCTATGGGACATGGAAAAATATCAAGTAATGTACATGTTTAATGTACATCTCAGAAGAAAGGAGGGAGAGCAGAACAAAAAGCTGTTGAAGAAATAGACTAAAATTTTACCAAAATCAATAGAAAACTATAAATGCAGAGATACATTAAGCTCAATAAATCCCAAACAGATAGAACATGAAGAAAACCACACCAAAGCATACCATAATCCAATTCATGAAAATCACACAGAACAAAGTCTTTTTTAAACGCATTCAGAAGTAAAAGAATTCACTGCAGGCTGAAAAAGTCAACAGACTTGAAAGAAATGAAAAAGCCTGATCCTTAAAGGATGAGGCAGGTGAGAAGGAGAAATAGGATAACTGCATTCCAAATGAGGGTAATAATGAGAAGACATGGCTTAAAAGAAAAGTTTAATTATAAAAGAGTAAGGTGTAAAGAAATATTTATCCCAAACACTGTTTAGAACAAAACCTTTTGCATTGTATTTTTATAAACTTCTTCTGGAAGGAAGTTACCATTCTTGGTTAAAATCTTAATCTATTTTGGATGAATTTTTAAAAGTTTAAGAAAGGTCTGGGAATTTGGCTATTACCTACCCAGCTGTCAGTCAGTCAAGAGTCTAAAGGTCTTTAGTCAGTATTCTTTACCTAGCCAGGTATTCTTTCCTTGCTTATCTAAGCACTCTCTGAATTGGCCTTGTTCATTCACCTGGCAGCAAGACTGAAATATTAATAAAACTTTGACATGGACTCATAACCAAAAACTTTTTTTAATACTAATGAACAATGAATATGGACATATTTACCAAAGCCTAAAAAAAAAAAAAAAAAAAAAAGAGTACTGGGATCACAATCTTTAGTATGAAGAAATGTAACAAGAATAAAAAAATAATGTACTTATATGTTCAGCTTTTCTCCTCTCATATTATCTAAAAACATGTTCAACCTCTACCTGTTTGGCTCCAGATTTTTTTATTACACTCATCAGGATAATGGGTGGAAAAAACTGCAGACTAGGAATGTAACTTTAAATAAAGTTAGGAGTTTGTATACTGGAAGGAAAGAGAAATCTAGAAGAAAAAGTTTAGGTCCAGAGAGCCTAAGAAAGAAAAAAAGGGGTTAAGGACCAAGTAGTCTTGGTTTAGGGACAGTGTGCTTTGTCTGATAACAAATCAGAGACTTTATTTTGAAGAACAGCAGCTTTGTAGAAAGCTAAGATGGGAAGGACAAAAATGGAAATGGAAGAATTCAAGATTTTTTCCTGGGTATTAAGGATATATATATATATATATTTGGGTTTTTTTTTTTTTTCCTTTTTTTTGGTCGCATCATAGAGCGTGTGGGATCTTAGCTTCTTGACCAAGGATCAAACCCACATCCTCTGCAGCGGTGGGCAGTCTTAACTACTAGACCACTAAAGTCTCAAAAATATACTCTTAATAACAGTAAACCAACTGGTTGATAGTAACTGCATGGCAAAAAAGACAAATATATCTTAAGTGCATATTAAATGTAAAGAAACAAAAACTAACTGCTCTATCATGTGAAGGCAAGACAGAGCAGGGGTGGGCAAAATAAGTGAAGGGGATTAAGAAGCACAAATCTCTGGAGACGGAAATGGCAACCCACTCTAGTATTCTTGCCTGAAAAAGTCCATGGACAGAAAAGTCTGGCAGGCTATAGTCCATGGGGTTACATGACTTAGCACACATGCATGAGGGTGGAGGGAGATGGGTTGGTAGCAATAAACTGGTAGAACTTTAAAAAAAAAAAAAAGAAGTACAAATCTCTAGTTATATAATAAATAATTCACAGGGATATAAGATATAACATAAGAAATATGTCAATAATATTGCAATAACTTTGTATCAGGATGATGGATGGTTATTGTTATCTGGATCATTTCATAACATATATAAAAGTGTCAAATCATTATGCAGTACATCTGAAATATAACACTGTACATCAGCTATATTTCAATTAAAAAAAGATAAGGCAGAGGAAGGCTGACACAGTAACAGATATATTATGTTATATATATTTTATATTTCATACACTGGCTCATAGAGACTTATAGAAAACATGCATAAATCTTGGAGATGAACAATTCTTCCTTATTTATGTTAGGATTCATCACTGGGATTAAAAAGAACTTTTAAAAACCAATTTCTTTAATTTATTGATACCTTTTAAATGAAATACTAATAAGAAAAATTAAATTTAAGTTCAAAATACAAACAGTGTGCCTGATGAGAAATACTTACGATGGTCGATCCTCAAGAATCAGGGCAGTGGTAGAAAGTGGCTCAAATTCAAAATTCTTTCGCCTTGAAGACTGAGGTGGTGGTTTACAGGCTCTCCCTGTCCGTGCTTCATATTCCTAGAGTAGATAAAAATATACGTATGCAGCAACTTTTCCAATTAAATCTGTATCATTTAAGATATTACGCTATAGTAAGGAATACATACAATTCATACATTAATTTGGTAAAAATATCAGATAGGCAAAAAAGTCACTTTTTTTGCCCTGAAGCAATCTAAACTATTAATTTATGCAATATATAAAGTATGAAAGTATGTTAAAAGAGGGGAAGGTACAATGTACTAATTAGGTAAGGTTTAGGAAGATTTTCTTGTTTGCATTCTATGGTATCAGTTTCCAGTTTCCAAGTCTATGATATCACTTTCATTATTCAAAGTCCAGCTTTGAATAATCTACATCGGATAAGCCTACTTTCTAAACTTTCAGCCAGATCAATGATAAAAATATTGACACAAGAAACAGATAATCCTGTTTTAATGCTCTGAAGATCTCTTTCAAGTGTGACACTGAACCCCTAATCATACTGGTTTTGGATTTCAACATACTCTGAATCTCACTACTATAAATCTACCCACTTATTTTAAACTGAAACAACAATTCACCAACATATCTTACCCAAAAAAAAGGCCAAAGACTCAAATATTTCACTAAAATTTAAAAAACTGTTACTATGGTATTTTCTCATTCAACTGAATTAATAATTCTCTTAAAAGAAATGAAGTTGGTTTAACATGATATGTTTTTGTTGGACATATTTAAATTTCTACATTTGAGCATTTTTTCATAAATGTTCACAAGCTTCTGCTAAAATTTCTAGAAAGTTTCAGATCAATACCAAAATTGTGACTCATAATTTCCAGAACCCACATTATTCCCTTTCTAAAACAAAAAGAAATCAAGCTAGTATTTGATCATCTCCAGATAATAAATATATTTTTCATGATATTTTCAATGGTTACTTATGAGTACATCTTCAAGTTCACTGTCAGATAAAGACATTAACTCAAATGAAGAAAATGAAATGCATTTAAAGTGATCAAGTGTTTCTCTTATTAACTAGCTGTTTTCCTACCATGGCGTATAATTCTTTTAAATTACTGTTTTTTCTAACTCGAAAACTGATTCTCACTACCGAATCTGATGGCTGCAAAGTACAAACGATGGTTCCATCCCTCTTGAAAATCTGATAATCTTGTTGAAGCTTCATCTTATTTGATATTACTTTAAAAAACAATTTATGATGTCAATCATTTTCTATAAACTTCAAGCTTTACTTCTGGTTTCTGCCACTGTTTACAATGGTTTGTACTATTCTTTTTTTTTTTTAACACTTTTTTTTAATGTGCACCATTTTATTGAATTCATTACAATACTGTTTCTGTTTTATGTTTGGGTTTTTTGGCCACCAGGCAAATGGTATCTTACCTCCCAGACCATGGATTGAACCTGCACTCCTTGCCTTGTAAGGCAAAGCCTTAGCCACTGGACTGCCAAGGAAGTCCCTAAACTATTCTTTTATAACTGTCTTTAATTCTACATCCCCTCTTCATTCCACCAAATCTAAGCTGTTAGTCTGAGAGTTCCTTTGCATGACTGCATTGGATTTTTAGAGACTTCTTTCTCAAATTATTTAGAACTTTGTATGTTCATTTTTACTAACTCCCATCTCAAAGAACTGTACAGCCTTTCAGTGTCAAAAACAATGGAGTCACTCATTTCTTTTTTGTTTTCAAAATTTTCTAATATCTAGGATATACATGTTATTATGATCAATATTTCTTTTCTTCATTACAAACTCAAGTGTAATCCCCTTTTCTGCTAATGTTTTTCTTATTAAAAACCATACATGCTAATACATATGAGGTTTGTTATCACTTACATGGCACTTTGTTTTCCTACAATGTGACCTGGACTCACTGCCAGACAGAATGCAATGAATACTACCCAATAAAGCATGTTCCATGCAAACAAATGCCAGTACACAGAGAGTAAAATAAAACTCCTAAGTCAACATATTAAAAATAACAACTAGCATTTACTGACACTGACAACATACCACACAGTGTTTTAAACACTTAACACATTTAATTCTTGAAACAACCTTGTGAGGCACCTAACTCACAGTAGAGGAAACTGAGGCACAAAGATGATATTAGCAGACAAGTAGCTATCTATAATAATTTAAAATGATGAGATAAATGAAATCATTTAGTGAGAGGCTAATAGAGAACTTTAAAATGGGAGGCTGAAGCTAACAATACCTCAATCACCAATCCATCTACACATTATTTTAAAAGTCCACCAGACAGTATGCATTTCCTGATGCAATGTGAAGTACATATCATCATTCTTGAAGTATTCTTGCCAAAAGAAAAATAAACAAACATGATTAAGTCCCTAGAACTGTACTCTCCAATATGGTAGTCAAAAGACATGATAACCAAATAAGTCGTATTATGGTCAAATATACATAGAAAAACATCAAGGAATTTGAACAATTAGGTTTCCCTCTGGAGGGTTGGACTAGAAGGGCACTTGTCTTAATTTACTCAGTGTTGTCTGACTTTTCTTACAAGAAATAAAGTAGCTTATTTATGAGAGGCCATTTTATATAAAGTTACTGTGGATCACTGACAAAGATTTTACTTAAGAGCTGGGATCAGAACTTAGGCAAAAATGATAGGCATTAACTAGACAGAAAGACTTGGAAAGAACAGGTGAGGGGGAACAAGCAAAAGTGTGGATTAGGGAAATATTAATCTCAATGAATATGAAAAAGGATGGGAAATAATGTATAGACTAAATTACAGGGCCTTTCACTGACAAAAATACTTGGAATTCATGCTGAGCAAACTGGAAAGCCACTAAAGACAGAACAAAAGGTGAAATCTTTTATTAAAAATTAAATAAGTACATGTTTAATATAAAAGGCAACACAAAAGCAAGTTCACCAATATCATTTATGTATTCACCTTACAAAGGAGCTTTATACAGAATTGTCACTCAGATATTTTTCACATGAGAAGAAGAAGGAATTTATATTTGAGTACTTTCTATCACAGATGTTTAGCATAAAAATGCTTTAAATTTCTAGAGGGTGATTTTTTTTAAAAGCTTAAAACATGGTATTAATCCATCCTCATCTGAAAATAGGATAGATTTATACATTTTTAATGACGCAAATATTTGCCAAATAAAGGTGCTAGTCTAACATGATTAAAAGTACAAATTGTATAAGAAATAATAAAATATCAAATATTAGTACTTTCAAAATTAATCACAAAGTGATATCAAATACATTTAAGCAAATGAATCAGACCACAGGACTAATATTCCGTATATTTACGTCGCTATAACAACAATTCTCTATAACTTTGGTTTCTGTTTGACCAAGAGTACCAGTCAGAGACTAACCTGCTCCACCACTCTCTTAGCTACCCCCTCCTCCATGTGTGGGCTTCATCTGGAGGCTGGCTTGTTGATCAGAGAAATGACTGTAGCAATGCCAACTGTCACATCCTTAGAGCACAACTTTCAAAGATCCTCTAGCTGTTCTTCTAACAGCAACTTTCACAAAAGAAAAACAAAGTACCCTTCCTGGAAGGTCCAGTAAACACTTCATTCAACATGCAATCACAATGACCTGAGAAATAAGCTTTATCAGTGAATTAAAGTTAATCAGGGCCTATTGCTGTAGCTGAGGAAAATCACATAATTCTTAAATCACTCAATTCGAGGACAACAGAGAGAGATAATAGTGTTCAAGTTATTGATATGTAGTTGATATCCACAAGACATCATTTAAAAATACAACCAAATAGTACATCATGGGGAGATTCCTGAAGCCATTTTCACTTTAAATCCATGTGTGTCATGTCATAAAAATCCCCTGTATATTCCTTCCATAGAAGTTTAATAATTTGGAGAAGGAAATGGCAACCCACTCCAGTATTCTTGCCTGGAAAAGTCCATGGACAGAGGAGCCTGACGGGCTGAAGTCCATGGGATTATATGACTGAGCATGTGTGCACGAGGGTGGAGGGAGATGGGTTGGTAGCAATAAAGTGGTAGAACTAAAAAAAAAAAAAAAAAGAAGTTTAATAATGACCAAAATATTGATAATTTTATAAGTCATAAAGAAGCCTTACAAAAAAATGACTGGAAATATCATAGTCCAAGGATATCAGTATATAATGCTAGCTACAGAACACTCACTATCTGAAAATACCGCATCAATCTCCTCATTTCCTAACAACAAAGGTTAATTTTTTTTTTCTGCCACACTATGCAATTTGTAGGATCTTAGTTCCCCCCAGGGACCAAGAATTGGACCAGGGCCCCCAGCAGTGAAAACAGAGTCCTATCCACAGACTGCCAGGGAATTTCCAAGGTCAGTTTTATTTTGAGTTGTTGGAGCTACCTACCAATGGCAAGATAAGAAGCATCTAGTTTTTCTCTTAGGAAATATATTTCTAAGAGATATTGCAACGAAGCTTGTTTATTTTGTCAATTTAACTTATTTTTCATCTTTCACTCAACTATTTTTCTATGAAAGCTACTTAATTGGATAACTAGAAGATGAAAACAATCCTAGAGGCAGGCTAGCAATATCTGTAGGATAATTTATTCTAGCTATTGGTGGCTCAGATGGTAAAGCATCTGTCTACAGTGTGGGAGACCTGGGTTCAATCACTGGGTTGGGAATCCCCTGGAGAAGAAATGGCAGCTGACTTCAGTACTCTTGCCTGGAAAATCCATGGATGGAGGAACCTGGTAGGCTACAGTCCATGGGGTCGCAAAGAGTTGGACATGACTGAGCGACTTCACTCACTTCTATTTTAAGAAAATTGGAGGCAAATAGGCAATTAATTCTAAGTTTGGTCAAAAGATGGTAAGCAACTGATATCATCTCCATAAGCACAGAGTAGAAAAAATTATTTATTATTCCAAGGCAAAGAAATACTAGATTCACATAAATGAAAAAGATGTTTTTCCTCAAAATAATCTCTTAGAAAAGAGAACATATTTGCTTAACATCTCTCATATTATGGGTGATT